AAAATGTCTACAACTGTCACTTCTGTTCTATGGTCACTTTAGAGTATGTATATAACAAGGAGATAAATCCCCATGGCCATGAAGAGCTTAGAACATCTAGTTTAACGAGCCTTATAAATATTGCCAGCGTGATTTGACTTACTCTGCAGCACACTGGGCACCACAATGATGTATATAGGAGGAATATAATATGTTCAAGTAGAAGGATGGACATCTATCGTGAAGCAATATGTCTGTGTAACAAGCTTCATAAGTAAGCTCCCAAAGTCTTGGATTACTTACTAGTTCTAAGTAAGTGATGACACCAAAGCATAACAGGTTAAATCGAACCTGTGACCAGGCTATGGCTATTTAAGGTCCTTTTGATGCAGTATTTGAGCTACATAAAACATGCCCTCACTGACCAATGTGGCTGCAGCCACTGTAGAGTAATTACTATTATTATTATACAGGATTTATATAGTGCCAACAGTTTGCTCAGCGCTTTACAATGTAAAAGGAGACAATACAGCAACTATACAGTTCAATACAAGAGGGTTAGGACCTGCACCTTGGAGCTTACAATCTAAGAGGGAGGGGCTGGTGGTACAAAAAGGTAATAACTATGGGGGATGAACTGATAGAGGAATAGAAGATATCATTATTAGCTGAAGGTAGGATGTGCTTCCCTGAAGAGATAGGTTTTCAGCGATTGCCTAAAAGTGGGCAGAGTAGGTGATAGTCGGATAAATTGGGGTAGCTGAGAGTTCCAGGGGATGGGGGAGCCTCTGGAGAAGTCCTGGAGATGAAAGCCAGTGGAGGGATTGGCAGAGAGGGGTGGCAGATATGGAATGGTTAGTAAGGTGGAGGAGTCTGGCGACAGCATTCACGATAGACTGAAGAGGGGATAGCCTGCGATGAGGTAGGCCAATGAGAAGGGAGTTACAATAGTCAAGGTGAGAGATAACAAGGGAGTGAATAAGTTGCTTAGTGGTTTAAGAGGTTAAGAACGGGCGTATCTGGGAGATGTTGCAGAGGTGAAGTCTACAAGATTTGGACAGCGATTCGATTTGGGGCTCAAAGGACAGATGGGAGTCTAGGATTACACCTAGTACCCCGGCATGAGGGGAGGGACTGATGGTTGTATTATTGATCTTGATGGAGAAGTCAGGGGAGGGGGCATGAGCTGGAGGGAATAGTATGAGCTCTGTTTTGGAAAGATTTAGTCTGAGGAAGTGGAGTGACATCCATACTGATATGTCACTTAGTAGGTTAGTAATGCGAGAGGAGACTGAAGGGGTGAGGGGTAGAAAGATAGATTTGCGTGTCAACAGCATAGAGATGGTACTTAAAGCCATGGGAGTTTATCAAGTGACCAAGGGAGGAGGTGTAGATGGAGAAGAGGTCCAAGGACAGAACCTTGAGGGACCCATACAGAAAGAGGAAGTGGAGAGGAGGAGACAGAGTTATAGGTAATGCTGAAGGAGCGCTGCAATAGGTAGGAGGAGAACCAGGAGAGAGCAGAGTCTCTCAGACCAAGAGAGGTGAGTTTTTTGAGGAGGAGGGGATGGTCAACAGTATCAAAAACCACAGAGAGGTCAAGTAGTAAGAGTATGGAGTAGTGGCCATTGTTTTTTAGCAGTTAGTAAATCATTAGTGAGCTTTAGTAGGCCAGTTTCAGTGTAGTGCAGTGAGCAAAAGCCAGACTGTAAAGGGTCAAGAAAGTTGTTAGTGAGGTAGGAGTTCAGGCGATTGTAGACTAAAAGTTCTAAGAGTTTAGAGGTAAACGGAAGCAGGGAGATGGGTCTTAAGCTGTTCAGGTTGGTGGGGTCTAGGGAGGGTTTTTTTTAGTACGGGAGTGATCTCTGCATGCTTTAGAGAGGTGCGGAAGGCACCGTTAGAGAAGGAGAGATTGAAGATATGAGTGAGCGAGCATAGGACAGAAGAGGGCGACCGTAGTAGTTGAGAGGGGACAGGATCCACGGGGCATGTGGTGAGATGGGCTTCTGAGAAAACCTCTTCAGTAGTAGCAAGGTCAAACGAGGAAAGTGTTGAGGGAGGTTTAGTATAAGGTATGCTAAGTGGGATAGATGTCTATGTAGCGCAGATGCCCCTACAAATTGCATCAATCTTGTTTTTGAAATGATTTGCAATCTCGTAAGCAGTGAGTTAATGCGTGGAGGTGGAGAAAGTATAGAGTTAAAAGTAGAGAAAGGACGACGAGGACTGGATGACAAGGTATTAATAAGAGTGACAAAGTAGGCTTGTTTGGCAGCATGGAGGGAGGAATTGTATGTTAAGAAAGCAGATTTATATCGGGTGAATGCTTGTTGAGATTTAGTTTTACGCCACAATCACTCCAGCGCACGACTATGTCGTTTAATATTTCTGGTGTCGTCAGTCTGCCACGGTTGTAATGGTCGGGGCCTGATACTTCGTGTAGTTAGAGGAGGAAGTGAGTCTATTGTGGATGAATGTGAACTGTTGTAGACAGCAGTGGCCAGGTCAGGGCAGGACAGGGGAGAAATTCTGTCATAGAGGCGGTCAGTTGCAGAGCGGAAAAGAGAAGGGTTTAAGTTGTGAAGGTTTCTGTGGGTAATTGTTTGCTGCTTGGAGGGATAAGTGTTTGAAGACAAGGACACTGTGAAGGTGATGAGATTGTGATCAGAGAGAGGAAGGGGGGGCGGGTGTTTGTGAGGTTGATGGGAGTGCAAAGATGGGAGAAAACAAGGTCTAATGTACTCCCATCAGAGTGAGTGGAGGACTGTATCCATTGTGTTAAGGCAAAAGATGAGGTTAGGTTGAAGATTTGAGATGTAGCTGGGTTGTTCACATTATTATTATTATACAGTATTTATAAAGCGCCAATGGTCGCTCAGCGCTGTACATTACAAAGGGGGACAGAACATGTGACAGAACAATACAATGCAAAACATGAGGGGATCGAGGGCCCTGCTCTTTCGAGCTTACAATCTAGGAGGGAGGGGATAGTGGTACAGGAGGAGATACAGTCAGGTCCATAAATATTGGGACATGGACACAATTCTAAAATTTTTGGCAGTATACACCACCACAATGGATTTGAAATGAAACAAACAAGATGTTCTTTAACTGTAGACTATCAGCTTTAATCTGATGGTATTTACATCCAAATCAGGTGAACGGTGTAGGAATTACAACAGTTTGCATATGTGCCTCCCACTTGTTAAGGGACCAAAAGTAATGGGACAATTGGCTTCTCAGCTGTTCCATGGCCAAGTGTGTGTTATTCCCTCATTATCCCAACTACAATGAGCAGATAAAAGGTCCCAATATTTATGGACCTTACTGTAGCTGTGGGGGATGGAGTGGAAGGAAGAGTGGAGGAGGTCGGCAGGTTAGCAGGGGGTGGGGTAGGCTTCCCTGAAGAGATGGGTTTTCAGGGTGCGCCTAAAGGAGAGGAGAGTAGGTGATAATCTGATGGGTTGGGGCAGGGAGTTCCAGAGGATGGGTGACACCCTGGAGAAGGCCTGGAGGCGGGCATGGGAGGAAAAGACCAGGGAACTAGAGAGAAGGAGGTCTTGTGAGGAGCGGAGTGTGCGTGCTGGGCGGTACTTGGATATTAGGTCAGTGATGTAGTACGAGCTAGTATGGTGGACAGCTTTGGACGTCAGTGTTAGGATTTTGAATTTGATCCGTTGCGCAATCGGAAGGCAGTGGAGGGATTGGCAGAGGGGGGTGGCGGAGATGGAGCGGTTGGAAAGGTGAATGAGTCTGGCAGCCGTATTCAGGATTGACTGAAGCGGGGATAGCCAGCAGCGAGGCAGGCCAGTGAGGAGGGAGTTGCAGTAGTCGAGTCGTGATATGATGAGGGAGTGGATGAGCTGTTTAGTGGTTTCTGGGGTTAGGAACATGCGTATTTTGGCGATGTTGCAGAGGTGGAGTCTGCACGAGTTTGTTAAAGATTGGACTTGGGGCTGGAAGGATAGGTTGGAGTCCAGAATGACACCAAGTACTCTGGCCTGCGGGGCGGGTTTGATGGTGGTGTTGTCCTCCTTAAAGCAGAATTAAACGCTCTCAATCAACATTAACTACTGTTAATTCTTATGCAGCTAATATTAGAACATAGGTAGGTAGATCGTATATTCTTGCTTTAACTTTTTTCACTTTTTTTTTTCATTTCTTCAATTGCTTTCTAGTTTCTAGCCTAGGACAAAATTATGTCATGCATTCCAGAAGTCTTCATGGACATTTTTTTTTCTTTCATCTGGAAGACTTTGTGAATCATCTGCCCTTACTCAAGATGGCCACAGCTAGAAATGCTAGGGGTGCTTTTCAACAAAATAAAGCATAGATACATGGATGGATGGGCGAGTTTTCTTCAAATATTAAAAATGTATGAGACAGCATCTTCAGTTTGTGGTGCACAGATACAGTTTAAGTTCTGCTTTAATTTTCACAGAAGTCATTATTTCTCAACAGCTCAGCTCACCCTGCTACCCTCTCCCCCAGAGCACCTGCTCTATGCTTACACGATTAGAAAGCTGAAACGCTGCAGGGAGGGGAAGCAGAGGGTCCTGTGCTTCTGAGAAGACTTCATAGCATCTGCAGTGACTTTTGAGGAGGAATTGCTCTACTCAGCCTGCAGCTACAGAGGTTAGGTATAGCTTCTTGAAAGCTCACTTACTACTTGTTAAAAATATAGAAATCCCTGAATGCCATAGTCAGACCACAGGTTCATCACAAGCTTCCATTTGAGACTTCTCACGCAGGTATGTTTATTTAAGACAGATCCCCTTTAAAACTAATACACCACCATTACAAACATCTGGCATATTTAATAAGCCAAAGAGAAGTGAGCAAAGCCCAATAATGCAAAGCAGCCATTCAGAATGTGTTTAATTGATTTAGTTTAGTAAACTCATTTCTGCCATAGGTAACATCACCTTGCATATCATCGTCAATATTTGTGAATAACGCCTCTTTTTTCATAGCATGCAGCATTGGAAAGCAATGCATCACTAATCCACTCCTCTACTCACCTGTTCCAGAGTCTTCCCAGCCCAGCCAATGGCTTTCATTTTCCTCTTAATTTCCCATTTCTTTTGAAGAACTAGGATAACATTGAGTGGCCATGAATATGGTGAGCTATACCGAGGCTGAGTAATCTGCGTAAACACATAAACCACAAGATCTTCAAACACAGGGAGAGAATAGACAGCACTGCCTAATAAGCTGCGTTTATCCACAATGGATATTTCCCAAATGAAAATTGCAGCCTGCAGCAGTAAATATTTCCCTTTAAACATCGCTTATTCTAAATTTATAAAAAAAAAAAAATAGCTAACAGCTATATTAAAATTTGCCAGATGTATTGCAAAATGTATGTGCCAGCAGAAAAAAAAAAAAAAAACACACACTGTATCAACTAATGGTATAAAACCTCAATGTTTCATTTATGAGAAGGGACCAACAATTGTGAGCAAAAGTGTTTTCTCATTAAAATTTAACCAAGATAAATGCTTTGGAGTCACTCACCTCCTCTAGTGTAGCTTCATCACACCACTGAATATATAGCTGCAAGAAAATAAACAGTACAAAAAAAGATCATGTACAAAGAGGGAAGGCAGAGGGAGAAACACATTCAAATATAAAGGTGTTTTCTTTGTTTTCAGATATAGTCAAGTGCAAATGACTATAGTACGGCTCAACAGAATTGTTTAAGTCTAGCCAAAGTCATTATATGAAAGTTGGACGCCTGTAGACCAATCCAACTACTGAATTATCTTTTACCAAAATAAAGCTGGTCACACCTCACTTAAATTTTAGCAATACTGTGAGCTTGACTGGCTTACAGTACAGGCATTCCCCCTCCCAGTCTGCTGTGCAGAAGACCACAGGAAGCCAATATCAGGTACTCATTAGATGAGTTATTTTTTCCAAGGGGTGTGCTACCAGATATTAAATTGAGGGTGCCAATAATTTTGTCCAGTCCATTTTTGGAGTTTTGCGTGGAATGTGTCAGATTTGCCTTTTTGTTTCTCCATTTTTTTGTGTCATACCAATACAAACAAAAGAAAAAACATGACAACGCCTAAACATTTGTAATTGCAAGAATTTTCTGGGCAAAGTGGTTCATCATCTGACAGAAATCTAGGGGTTCCAATATTTTTGGCCATGACAGTATATGTACAGTCATGGCCGAAATTGTTGGCACCCTGATATTTCTCCAGGAAATCATGTATTTCTCACGAAACGTATTGCATTAACACATGTTTTGCTATACACATGTTTATTCCCTTTGTGTGTATTGGGACAAAACAAAAAAAGGGAGGAAAGAAAGCAAATTCGACATAATGTCACACAAACCTCCAAAAATGGGCTGGACAAAAGTATTGGCACCCTTTCACAACTGCGGATAAATAAGAATGTTACAAGCATGTGATGCTCCTGTAAACTCACCTGGGGCAAGTAACAGGTGTGGGCAATATAGAAATCACACCTGAAAGCAGATAAAAAGGAGAGACGTTCACTTACCTTTGCATTGTGTGTCTGTCTGTGCCACACTAAGCATGGACAACAGAAAGAGGAGACGAGAACTGTCTGAGGACCTGAGAACCAAAATTGTGGCAAAATATCAACAATCTCAAGGTTACAAGTCCATCTCCAGAGAACTAGATTTGCCTTTGTCCACAGTGCGCAACATTATCAAGAAGTTTGCAACCCATGGCACTGTAGCTAATCTCCCTGGTCGTGGACGGATGAGGAAAATTGATGAAAGATTGCAACGCAGAATAGTCCGGATGGTGGATAAGCAGCCCCAAACATGTTCCAAAGACATTCAAGCTGTCCTGCAGGCTCAGGGAGCATCAGTGTCAGCGCGAACTATCCGTCGACATTTAAATGAAATGAAACGCTATGGCAGGAGACCCAGGAGGACCCCACTGCTGACACAGAGACATAAAAAAGCAAGACTACAGTTTGCCAAAATGTACTTGAGTAAGCCAAAAGCCTTCTGGGAAAACGTCTTGTGGACAGATGAGACCAAGATAGAGCTTTTCGGTAAAGCACATCATTCTACTGTTTACCGAAAACGGAATGAGGCCTACAAAGAACAAAACACAGTACCTACGGTAAAATATGGTGGAGGTTCAATGATGTTTTGGGGTTGTTTTGCTGCCTCTGGCACTGGGTGCCTTGACTGTGTGCAAGGCATCATGAAATCTGAGGATTACCAAAGGATTTTGGGTCGCACTGTAGGGCCCAGTGTCAGAAAGCTGGGTTTGCGTCCAAGATCCTGGGTCTTCCAGCAGGACAATGACCCCAAACATACGTCAAAAAGCACTCAGAAATGGATGGCAAAGAAGCGCTGGAGAGTTCTGAAGTGGCCAGCAATGAGCCCAGATCTAAATCCCATTGAACACCTGTGGAGAGATCTTAAAATTGCTGTTGGGAAAAGGTGTCCTTCCAATAAGAGAGACCTGGAGCTGTTTGCAAAGGAAGAGTGGTCCAAAATTCCGGGTGAGAGGTGTAGAAGCTTATTGATGGTTATAGGAAGCGACTGATTTCAGTTATGTTTTCCAAAGGGTGTGCAACCAAATATTAAGTTAAGGGTGCCAATACTTTTGTCCAGCCCATTTTTGGGGTTTTGTGTGACATTATGTCATATTTGCTTTTCTGCCTCTGTTTTATATTTGTTCCAATACATACAAAGGGAATAAACATGTGTATAGCAAAACATGTGTTAATGCAATACCTTTTTTGTGTGAAATACTTGATTTTCAGGAAAAATATCAAGGGTGCCAACAATTTCGGCCATGACTGTATATATTAGCCAAAATACTGTAGCTGATCTATGCTTTAGAGATCTGGAACATCAAATCTCACCAAATCTCATCTCATAAACTTATAGCCATTTATTAACAATGTAAACAATGTTTAGGGGCACTAAGCTCCTTCAACTGGCAAATGGCTCATAGATTTGTCCACTATAAGGCTAGGTTCACACCTAAGTGTCTTGCATTTTGAAGAAATGCACTACAGTCCATTTAACATGATTTCCAATGAGACACAGTCACATCTCTGCGTTTTCACCCTGTGCAACTTTTGGAAAAGGTCAGGGACTTTTTTAAACACAAAACAATGAGTTTTGGTTCAATAGACTTCGATAGAGATGCATGTAGTGCGTTTTTTGTGATTTGCATTTTTATCTGCCCAGCAACAAGTTGGCCAACAAAAAAAGCAAAATGCAAAAACGCATCACTAAAAGAACTGCAGAAATGGATCAAACGCAAACTGCATAGATGTGAACCTAGCCTAAAGGCTACCATTGGGGATCTTCACCTGAAAAGGCAGCAATTCCAGAACAGCTGATCTGCATACTTATTACAGGTCAGTCACTTGAAGACCCATTGGAGCAGCAAGACAGGGGTAACAAAAATTTTTAGAAATGTCAATGATGACAGCCTACATATTTCTTGGGTTTCATTTTGGTAAAAATGTCATCGTTTTTATCAGGAGATTAGCATCCCACATATTTGCCTATGGTCACTGTTTGCATGAAGAAGGGGCTTGATGGTTTGAAACGTTGTGAACAATATTTGGTTCTAACCTTATGATGTGATGCTGAGATTTGTTGTTCTAGATTTCTGACAAGTGGCACCTTCTACTATATTCACTACAGCATTCAAGTTGTTGGAATGCAAAAAGTACGAAGCAAGCCGTTCCTTTCTTCTGTTTTAGGGAAACCACTCACTGTAGTGTAACTAAGCTCAGGCACGAGTTCAACAGTAATAAAGTAAAATTAAGTGGCAAAGTTACCTCTGCTGTCAAAAGCATGTTATTAACCAGTTCCATGTAGGCTTTCATCTCTGCCCTCTGGACTTCATCCAAGCCGTCACTGAGTGAATGGCCCTGTGTAAGGGGAAAGGCAAGGACTGACTATCAGGTGGTCTATAACACAATTCACATTAACAGCGACACCTAATTACTTAAAGGGTAATTCCCCACAAAACTGAAATGTTAGCTTGCGAGGATTTAGTGTTAGAGGATTTTTATGCTCTGCGCCAGTCCTCAGCTTCTCATCTCTCAGGAACCCCAGCTGTAAAATCTTACACCAAAAAATAGTAAAAAAAATCCTTAAAGCTACAATGCACCCACCATATCTATGGACATCTATTACTTTCTTTGCCCTTGGGTTTAGATACATTTTAATGCTTTTTATTATTCAGAGGGAAAGGAGAGGATTTAGGTTGCACTGGCAGATGTTCCCAGTGGCATCTATCAGAGGAAAATAATCCTAATTGGGACAGATTCTTAAAATTGCTTGATCAATTGTTTCTTTTGAGCGCCTTCATGAAACAATCATGAGGGGTTTCCATACAGATAACATCACTGCCAAATCCAGCAAAAAACAGCAAGGTAGCTTGAGTACATGGGTCCACCCCACAACAAAGTCAATTTTAAGCTGAGATTTAAGCCTGCCATTGCCATTGAAATTCAGCCGGTTCAGCAGGAACCAGCCAAATTTCAATCCATCCACAGGCAGGCTGCTTGTACTGAAGCTGATCTATCGGTACAACCAGCATGTCAGGTTTTTTTTTTTGTTGTACAATTACTGCTGCCGGCTATAGAGGGAGGGATGCCCCCATCAACACTGAATGTTTTGATGTGGAAATCAATGCATTAGGGTAAGAAAAAAAAAAACTTCTGGATGCAGCTCTCACCCCCCCGATCCCTCTTATACTTACCTGAGCCTGATCTCGATCCAGCAATGTTCATGAGAGCTGCAGCTCTCCCAACTCCCAATGGCTCAAACATCAGCTAGAGCCATTGGCCTGCCTTTACACGCACATAAACTTTAATGGCACCCTAGTCTTACCCTCCATTCACATCAAGCCTGACTTTGAAATTGTGCGACTTACAGTGAAGTCGGGCGATTTCAAAGTCGGGGGACCCGCCGATTTCAGGTGCGATTTGTAAGACATCTGATACATATGTCTATGCAAATCACACCAAAAGGAGTGCATGTATGCTCCAACTGCAAACAATAGGGTGCGACTTGGCATGCGATTTGCAAGTCACAGGGCATGCAAATCGCATGCCAAGTCGCATCCAGTGTGAACCAGGGTTTAGTCCGTAGGGTTCAATATTGAGTTGGCCCACCTTTTGCAGCTATAACAGCTTCAACTCTTCTGGGAAGGCTGCCCACAAGGTTTAGGAGTGTGTCTATGGGAATGAGGGTGGCCTGAGTGCCCGACGTCCTCTAGTGGGCCCTGTGCTAACTGCCTGGCACCATAGAGCTCAACTGGCATTTGCCATTGAACACCAGAATTGGCAGGTCCGCCATTGGTGCCCTGTGCTTTTCACAAATAAGAGCAGGTTCACCCTGAGCACATGTGACTGATGTGAAAGGGTCTGGAGAAGCTGTAGAGAACGTTATGCTGCCCGTAACATGGTTCATCATGTCCGTTTTGATGGTGGGTCAGTGATGATCTGAGGAGGCATATCCATGGAGGGAAACATAGACCTCTATAGGCTAGAAAATGGCACCCTGACTGCCATTAGGTATCGGGATGAAATCCTTCGACCCATTGTCAGACCCTACTGCAGTGGGTCCTGGGTTCCTTCTGGTGCACGACAATGCCGGCCTCATGTGGCGAGAGTATGCAGGCAGTTCCTTGAGAATGAAGGAATTGATACCATTCTGGAGAAGACGTGGAAAACGTTATGCTGCCTGTAACATTGTTCAGCATGACCATTTTGGTGTTGGGTCAGTGATGGTCTTGGGAGTCATATCCATGGAGGGACGCACAGACCTCTACAGGCTAGACAATGGCACCCCGACTGCCATTAGGTAGCAGGATGAAATCCTAAGACTCTACGCTTGTGCAGTGGGTACTGGTTTCCTCCTGGTGCATGACAATGCCCAGCCACACCTCTGGTAAATCATATTTCAGTCCATCAGACGCTGCCAGGTTGCACCTAAGACTGTCCAGGAGCTCAGTGATGCCCTGGTCTAGATCTGGAAGGAAGTACCCCAGGACACCATCCATCGTCTCATTAGGAGCATGCCTCAATGTTGTCAGGCATGCATGAAGGGGCCATACAAACTACTGAGTACCATTTTGAGTTGCTGTAATGAAATTTCAGCAAAATTGACTAGTCTGCTGCATAATTTTTTCACTTTGATTTTAGGGTGTCTTTGAATTCAGTCTTCTGTAGGTTGATCATTTTCATCAAGCGATGGGGCATCCTTACGTTCCTAACACATTATCTAGTCCATATCAGTATAGATATCCAGCATGGTACTTTTCCCCATTGAGATCTGATGTGTTTTCAAAGTGTTCCTTTAAGTATTTTGAGCAGTATACTAGCTATAGTAGTTTTTGTTGTGGAGTGTATTCATTTTTGCATCAAATAATTTGAGTAAAAAACTGAAGATTTTGTAATCTAAGGTATATTATTAACCTTACTTTAATATAATGAGCTAAACAAATATTCTATAAATCTCAGTTTTTAAAAAAATTTGGGAAATTGTTCTTGTGTTCACTGAGATAGTGATTAAAATCTTACTTTACAAAAGGGGTGTACTCATTTATGCTGTGCACTGTATATCTCATAGTTTGCATTTGCTACAACTTTCACGCAAACTAATCAATACAGTATACACTTATTGGGATTATTTTTATCGACATGTAGCAGAATACATTTTGTCCAGAATTTATGGAGAAATTAGATTTTTTATTGATTAGGTTTTATAGCAGAAAGTAGAAAATATTGTGTTTTTTTTTCAAAATTTTCGGTTGTCTTTCGTTTAGATCGCAAAAAATAAAAAACCCAGAAGTGATCAAATACCACCAAAAGAAAGCTCTATTTCTGTGGACATAAATGATAGAAATTTTGTTTGGGTACAGCATTGCATAATCGCACAATTACCAATTAAAATAGCGTAGTGCTAAATAGCAATAAAATGGCCTGGTCATGAAGGGGGTAAAACCCTCTGGAGCTGAAGTGGTGAAATGTACATTTACACACGTTTATGTGCGTTTAGACATTCTCAGAGTATCTAATCTGCCCCTGGATGCACAGAATTCTATTACAATAAAAACAACCTGTGCGCAGTTCTGGTGTAAAACGATGAATGAATGAATGAATAAAATAATCTGCTGCCGCTAAGTCATCATGATCACACCGCATATTTAAAAAGCAATATAATAGACAGGAGAGCGCTACAGATAATGAATACTGAAAGTCCACATAAACTCTGTAACGAATCCTCTGTACATGTTAAGGTTCCCACTGAATCAATAATATAAATGTATCATAGTAATAATGTAACCATTCATCAGAATGACATGTGAAACATTCAAGTGAAAGTCTCAATCAGTAGGTATGAAAAAGTTCCCTTCCGTCCATGTTCAGAAAAACAGAAACTGGAATCACCACTAGAGAGGAACCTTCACCTTTAGCCTCTCACCTGGTGGTTAGACCTACTGAACTTCGGTCTAATCACGCTTTTAACCCTATTGTCCCTGGGTTATGGTGAGTGAGATTCAAACACCGGCTTACCGCTGGCGGGACTACATGGATCACAGTGACAGGATACCACCAAGAGATGAGAGTGGAGAGAGCACAGTGATCTCATTTACGGAACTTCCACCAGCTGCGGCAATCATAAGGACTGTAACTTGGATATCGCTGTCATCTGTAGTGCACCAAGCATGTGCACTTTGCTTGTGAGTGTTGTTTTTAATTTATTTCAATAAATTGTATATATGGGTACACACTCTGTTAGCTTCTCTTTTCATATAATCGGTGAATCGCTTTCATTGGTGATTTAGAGGACCCATACCCGAAGGATATCCCCATAACCCAGGGTCAATAGGGTTAAAAGTGCGATTAGACCGAAGTTCAGTAGGTCTAACCACCAGGTGAGAGGCTGAAGGTGAAGGTTCCTCACTAGTGGTGATTCCAGTTTCTGTTTTTATGAACACTTGGACGGAAGGGAACTTTTTCATACCTACTGATTGAGACTTTCACTTGAATGTTTCACGTCATTCTGATGAATGGTTCTGTTATTACTATGATACATTTATATTATTGATTCAGTGGGAACCTTGACATGTACAGAGGATTCGTTACAGAATTTATGTGGACTTACAGAATTCTATATTGTCTACAACCGATCATGTACAGTCCCATAGCAGGTTTATGCCAGTTTTACTTTCCTAAACTTAAGTAGAGGCATTCTTTAACCACTAGCCTACAGGGCACTTATACCCCCTTCCTGCCCAGGCCAATTTCCAGCTTTCAGTGCTGTCGCACTTTGAATGACAATTGCGCGGTCATGCAACACTATACTCATATTAAATTTTTATCATTTTTTGTGACAGATAGAGCTTTCTTTTGGTGGTATTTAATCACCTCGGGGGTTTTTATTTTTTCTTAAACAAACCAAAAAACACTGAAAATTTTGAAAAAAAAATGTTTTTTCTTAGTTTTTGTTATAAAATTTTGTAAATAAGTGATTTTTTTTTCTCCTTCACTGATGTGCACTAATGAGGCTGCAGTGATGGGCACTGAAAGGCTGCACTGATGGACACTGATAGGGGGCACTGATGAGGAGGCACTGGTAGGTGGCACTGATGGGCATTGACAGGCATCACTGATGGGCACTGAAAGGCAGCACTGATACAATGCACTGATATATGGCACTGATATATGGCACTGTTAGGCGGCACTAACTGGCACTGATAGGCGGCACTGACTGGCACTGTTAGGCGGCACTGACTGGCACCGATAGGCGGCACACTGATAGCGGCACTGATGCACACTGATAGGCGGCACTGATTGGCAGCACTGATAGGTGGCACTGATTGGCATTGATAGGTGGCACTGATGGATGACACTGAAAGGCAGCTCAGATGGGCACTGATATGTGGCACTGATGTGCACTGGTATGCAGCATTGATGTGGCACTGATAGGCACTGGCACATGGCACTGATGGACTTTGACAGGTGGCACTGCTGGGGCTACACTGATCATCAGGGCACACTGATCATCAGTGCCCTGATGATCAGTGTACATGTCCCCTCCGCGGAATGCCGATTACCGGTTCTCCTCTCCTCTCGAGCTGTCAGCGTGACAGCTCGAGAGGAGAGAAATGCCGATAACCGGCATTTCCGTGTTTACATGTGATCAGCTGTGATTGGACACAGCTGATCACATGACCGAGCCAACATCTTCGGCTCTTTCCATGATCGGTGATCTGCTGTGTCCGAGGGACACAGCGCACCGCCGATCGCCGCGCTGCGTGCTCCCTGAGCCATGCATGCGCTGTGAGAATGGGAGGACGTCATATGACGTCCTCTCAGAACGAGAGAACCACCTTGCGCCCGTCATTGGACTATATGGCGGGCGGGAGGTGGTTAAAGGGAACCTGTGCTTAGAGCAACCTGGAGGTTCCCATTACGAACTTCTATTTCTCTAGATGCTAGTTACCTGGCTGATTGAATGTGTTTGATTCTGAATAAGCAAGCAGATTAGGACTTCTGACTTAAGTTTGACTTTATTTGCTGCGTGTTCCAAGTCATTTGCTCAGAATGTGTTGAAGTCCCAGAATCAGCACTGCTGCCAGGCACCAAGCATTTTTCGAAGGAGCTTAGCACTGAAAGTCTTCAGATTTCCTTTAACCAATCACACACATTCACGAAGATGTATTCTCTTAGAAGCCTTACCTTGGCTTTCACAAATTGCACTATTGGTCCCAGTTCCGATATTACTTGATTCCCAACATGGATAAAAGGAACTTTTCCTAAGTAAAAAAACAAAACAAAAAGATAACAGATAAAAAAAAAAAAAAACACTGAAAAAATAGAGTGTTTAAAAAACCACATATTTGTTGTTAATTATTTCTCTGCATTACTAGCATATCATTTAAGCCACATGCATAAGCATTGTGAAAACAAAAAAGCAGTTCAGTGAGTAGTTTTTTTTTTTAAATTAAAAAAAAAAAAACATCCTGCCAGCCAGGTCACAGTCCAATAATAGCCATTTACAAGAGCCAATCAGGGGAACCCACCACTCTGAGACAATCAGGGTTCTACTGCAAATCACAATGCCGGCTAACACAGACAGCATGTTTACAGATGAAGAGAGCAGAAAGATGATCTCATCAGAGTGCTGCTGCTCCTTCATTGTCCACTCACAGAACGGATTGAAGGGTTGGAAGGAAAGAAAATGGTGGAAGGAAAGAAAATTGCATAATCCCTGGCTTCTTCAGACTGTCTTAAAGGATAAGTTCACCTTTTGCAACATGTGACATGTTACAACCATATTCAGGGTGTAATATGTAACATGTTACAAATAGACCAACCCCTCGTTCCTCCCCGCTCCCCATTGTGACAGCTAGCGGGGGATTTTCTCCGCCCTCGTTAGCTGTCACAATTTTTAAAAACTGGTGTTATGCTAATTAACTACAAGTCCCAACATCCTTTGCGACTGTTGGCTTGAGGTTCTCAATGAACTACTATGGCGCTGTGGAGTGCAGTGGTAGTTCATTGATTCATCCTGTAAGTATATCTGCTTGCTTGTACATCCCATACAAGCAAGGAGATATACTGACAGGTCTGCAGGAGACCTGCATGGCACCAATGATCTGCTGATCGCTGGTGCATTGTTTTAGAGGCTCCTGCAACAAAAAATAATGCTAATTTTTTTGTGCATTTATTATTTTTTGTAAAAAGGCAAACTGATCCTTTAACAGAAATACAAATCCTTTAGCAGGTAACCCAATTTCCATATTTGTATTTTAATGTATTTATCGGTTTGCCTGGAGTCCAACGTTAAATTATCAACCAAAGCCTCATGCCGATAGCCTTTGTCCTAACCCTTAAAGTTCCCCTACAGCACAATTTCCTGCATTGTCAAATGATATCCTTAAAAAATACTGTACGCCTGTATTATTTATGAAGTGGTATGACTGCCCGTCTACAGAGCTCGCTTACCCCTCCAGGTTTGAAGAATTGTGGCCCCGCACAGACATGAAACCCCTAATCTATCATAGGCTTGCAGATCATACATCATATCTTAATCCTTAATAATCTAGCACATCGAGTTTTTTTTTTTTTTTTTTTTTTTTTTTTTTTTATCTCCTGTGACATCTGCTCTTCAAATTGCTCCTGCACTCAAACAGAAAGCAGCTAAAGATCCTGGACCAATCATTATTCCAGAAACATGACAACCTACACCTGTTCCTTTATATCTTCCTTATCTTCTGCTAAACACAGATCACTCTGTACCACTCCCGCTTTACTCCTGGTACTAATACAGCACTCAGGGTACAACACAAAAACAGTTACATGGAATTTTGCTATTTAATATTTTATTTCTATTGGGTTCACAAAGTGAACAAAAAGATGTTCAATAATAATAAAGAATATGTAAACCCAATCATTAAATCTCACATACATTTCATATTTAAAAAGTGAATTCCTTTTAAAGGCCAGTTCACACCGGGAACGGCGGAACGGACTGTGTGTTCTTGTGCAATTCATATGCAGCTTTGTGCGGTGCGATTTCAGGCCATTCATTTTGTTTTACAAATATTTTTATTGATTTTTCAAGTTTTACAATAGAAATGTATAAATCGTCATGTACATAAGAACACACTATGAGCAAAAAGAAAAAATATCCGAGGCAGATATATGGGAACATTTCCCTAGAATGAAGGGAATGGTACATACAGTAGCATAGACAACTGCACAAAATCACAAACAAGCCCTGGGAGCAGCATGACAGAGGATGGGGAAGTAAATACGGGCAGTTGATGGAGATAATGGCCTTGACTAGGTAAAAGAAGGAAGGTGGTTAGAGCCCAAGAGAGCTCCAATTGAGATTAGGAGAGAAAAGAAAGAATTGAAAGCCGCTGCTTGAAGGCCTCAGAGAGCCGTAAAGACAGGGGAGAGGGTGGGAAAAAAGGGTTTGCTTGGGAAAGAATGGAGAAGAGAACAAGGAGAGGTTCCAATGCAGTTTAGACCATGGCTCAGCATAGAAATGGGCCATTCTGTCAATCAGACGGAGAGTAAGGAGTGGTTCAGTTCAAGATGATCATTGTGGGATATCCATGGATCCAAAACTTTGAAAAAAATTTGCATGGGAATCGGTCAGTATAGAAGTCAGCTTTTTGTGGATAATGGTTATCATAAGCTGCTTCCTGACATCAGCGAAGTTTAGAAATGACTGATGCCAAACCTTTACAAGAGTCTGCTGGGCTGCCAGAAACACAAACCCCACCAGCTTCCTTTGGGCATTTGTCAGATATGGGATTGGCTTGTATGGCAGGGTCTCCCAGGGTCATGCACTAGGGAGACTTGTAAAATTGATCTACCCACAGAGTATTTATTATTTATTTATTTCAGGTACTTATATAGCGCCCTAAATTTTACACAGTGCTTTATATATATATAGTACATTCACATCAGTCCCTAACCCTCAAGGGGCGTACAATCTAAGGTCCCTAACTTACATTCATGCATATTAGGGCCAATTTGGACAAGAATCAATTCACCTACCAGCATGTCTTTGGAGTGTGGGAGGAAACTGGAGTACCCAAAGGAAACCCACACAGGCACAGGGAGAACATGCAAACTCCAGGCAGGTGGTGCCGTGGTTGGGGTTCGAACCAATGACCCTAGTACTGCCAGGCGGAAGTGCTAACCATTTAGCCACTGTGCTGCCCTATAGACCCGGTAGAGCCTTAGGCCATGACCACCAAATATGGAAAAGGGTGCCTGTTTCCCTGCACCCACGAAAACATGAGAGAGATGCAGAGCGAATGAATTTGGCTATCTGTAATAATGGAATCTTCTACTCTTCCTACCAGTCCATCCCCCACAGTTACTACCTCTTGTACCACTAGCCCCTATTGTTACTGTATTGTCTCCCGTTATATTGTAAAGCGCTGAGCAAACTGTTGGCGCTATATAAATCCTGTATAATAATAATAATAATAATATACCACTAGCCCCTCCCTCCTAGATTGTAAGCTCCAAGGAGCAGGGCCCTCCTAACCCTCTTGTATTGAACTGTATTGTTGCTGTATTGTCTCCCGTTATATTGTAAAGCGCTGAGCAAACTGTTGGCGCTATATAAATCCTGTATTATAATAATAATAATAATAATAATCTGTTCCATTGTCAGATACCAGCGAAACCAACCTATAGGCATTCTCTTGGTCAGATATGTTCCGGGAACATTTACATGAGTCAAGCTATATCTGGTTCTAGTCAGATTGATCCAGGGTTCTACCAAGATCAGCTTCCCATATCGAAAAGTAGGGAAGTGTGCGGGATCCCATGGCATCAGTCAGAGAAGCGTACAAATCATCAGCTCATTAACTTTGAATGGGCTGAAATATCACCGCACCAAAAACTTTTAAAAAGTCACTGCATTTGCGACCTGCGTTTGGGGTGTCCTTAACTTAATATTGATACCTACTGCAGAGCATTTTGTATAGTGCGAAAAACATGCGCGGAATGTAGTTTTCCCTCACCACGTTCTGCTGTGAACTGGCTAGAACACTGCAGCTTTCAATAAACAAGTACCTAGTGATCCTGCCACAAAGATCTTTTGCTTAGGCACTCTGTCCTTGTCTGCCTCCAACAATAATGCAAAGCAAAAGAACAACCTCCTGAGCTCAAGAGAAATGCTCTGACAATGACTGATCACAGTCCTTCAGCTACTCCGCCATTGGCAAAGCTTTGCAGCCCCCTCAAAACTGGGGAAACCCAAAAATCACACAAAAAAAATAAAAACAGGGGGTGCACCAGCCTTCCGCATTATCTTTGTGACAGCTTTATTAAAAGGATAAAAACAAATGTATACTTACAAACAGCATGCATTATCAAGCACATTAGTGTCCACAATGTCCTGGACAACCGAATGAGCCCCAACCACAAGAAGACCGTCTGAATGGCTGACTCGTTTCAAATGGAGATCTGAGCTCTGAGAAAGAGGGGCTGTCCCCTCAAAACGCGTCAGCCAGAGGGTCTTCTTTTGGTGGGGACTCGTTTGGTTGACCTGGTTGTCCAGGACACTGATGTGCCTAATAATTCATGATGTTTGTGAGAGTACATCTGTTTTTATCCTTTTAGCTGTCACAAAGATAACGCACAAGGCTGGTGAGCCCTCTGTTTTTATTTCCTAGTGCCACCAACAATAACCTGCTGCCAATCAGAACGCTCCTCCTTGCATTGGGTCTGTGCCCACACTGCAAGGATTAATTGCTGATTTAGATATACAGAAGAGTAAAAGCATTTTCCTTTCCTGGTCCTCTGCTCCCCTGGCAGATAGTGCTCCCCCATGCTCTGGTGGTGGTCTGTTCTTTTGGCATCATCACATCCTATGCAGGGCTAAGCACCCTGAATTGGTCTTGATGATGTCAGGCCTTTAAACTGTCTTAGTATGGGGCAGAAGATGCTGCGGGGAGTCTAGCCACACAGAGGACTGGGTAAGAAAATGGTCATTACTATGTCCACTGGACCTAAATAAACAGGTTATCCTTGCAGTGCAGGCAAGGATCCTCTGCAAAGAAGAGTTTTCAAGTTTCCTGGAGTTGATCTTTATACAGACTCTGTCACCAACATAAAAAACTGCAGTTAAAAGCACAAAAATCAGGAATTTTAAATGCTTAGTTGAAGTGTTTTTCGTTTACAAAAATGATTGTTTATTCATTTGTAATTTGCCTCTGAACTTGCTAGTAAATATGAATGTCTGTGCTGGTCCAGCTCCTCCAAACCTCTCTAAATAACCTCT